AGAAGAAGAAGAGGGGGTAAGAAGAAGGGGGAGTAAGAAGAAGAGGGGGAGTAAGAAGAAGAAGGGGGAGTAAGAAGAAGAAGGGGGTAAGAAGAAGGGGGGGTAAGAAGAAGAAGGGGGAGTAAGAAGAACAGGTGGGGGAGTAAGAAGAACAGGTGGGGGAGTAAGACGACCAAGGGGGGAAGTATGAAGAACACAGGGAGGAGGGGGTAAGACGAACACAGGGGGTGTGAGGAGAACACATAGAGGGAGGAGTGAGAAGAACACAGGGAGGGTGGAGGGGGGGATGAGAAGAGCACAGGGAGGGTGGGTGAGTGTGAGAAGAGACCGCTAGGGGAGGGTGGGGGAGAGGAGAGACCACTAAGGTGCAGGGGAGAGCTCTACGGGACAGAAGGGGCAGCTCTATGGGACAGGGGCCAAGACAGGGAGCTCTTTCACACTACGCGCGCGCACACACACACAATGCATCCCTATACATACACAGAAACACAACATGCTTCCCTTACACACAGAGAAACACACAATGCATCCATTACACACACACACACAATGCAACCCTTACACACAAAGACAATGCATCCTTTGCACACATACACAGAAACAGACAATGCAAACCCGTACACACACATGCAAACACACACACTTCTTTTCTTACATACACACAGAAACACAATGCATCTCTTACACTCAATGCACACACATACAGACACACACTTTGCATCCCTTATGCATACAAACACAGATTCACACAATGCATCCCTTACACACAACCAGAAACACATAATACATCCCTTATACACAAATACACACTGCTTCCACTACACACAAACACACTACATCACCTGCACAAACTGGTAACCCTATACACTACATACCATAAGCACACATATTAGATCCTCTACAATAACACATAACACATCCCCTACACACTCCACTCCCTGTGAGCGAACTCATGGGTGGGTGGAATTTATGAGTGGGCCTTATGGGCATACTCACCATCAGGCCCTGGGGCCCAGACCTTGAGCTGTGTAAGGGGCCCCAAAAAATGGAGCTGCTTCCAATTCTCCCAGAACATTGAATTTTGTGACCACAGTTGCAAACAGCCTCCAGAGATCCTGTTCTACACCAGACCAGTGGAGCCAAACTGCAGCCCATCATCATCCTCATCTGCTTGTAAGTAGGCAATCTAGTATATTATTAGTGACACTAATCTATAATGTACCTCACATTAAAGGGACACTATAGCTTAATGAAGTGGTTCTGGTGTCTATAGCTGGTCCCTGCAGGCTTTTTAATGTAAACACACACTGTGTGCAGCACTGGCGTTAGTTCATATGGGTGGGGCATTGTGATGTCACATGGGGGGGCAGCAAATTTTTATTTTGTCTAGGGCGGCAAAAATCCTTGCACCGGCTCTGATCCTGGGCAGGTGCACCAGTCTACTGGTGACCCACAGGAGGGGAGTGCACTGATTGCACTGCACTCTCCTCCTGTCCAGCCCCATCTTTACCGCAGTGCAAGTGCCCTCTGCCCCTAATTTACAGTGGCTCACACTCACAACAAGCAGTGCCTGGAGCCGTGAAGGAGCGGGTATGGCAAAGAGCTACTGATTAGCATAACATCAATATCCGTTATAAAACCAGGAAAAGGTGGGCATGGATGGTGAACTGATTTGGTGGTGCAATGGGCCACTTGACTGGTTTTGCCCTCCAGGCCTAAGGCTGCCAGCCCTCCCCTGGATGCCATTACCTACTCTGTGCTCCACAAAAATAAAAAAATCCTCATAGGGTGCTTTGATCAATACTAAAAAAATATAAACATGGAAGCGCTATGACACATGCATCTGCCTTTTTCCTTCCTCAGTGATCGTGGAACTGTGGAGCCCAAACACTTTAGGGAGAGGGGAGTTTATTTTCTTTCTAAGTGAAATCCCTTTATTTATTTTTTTTATTTTTTTTATTCCAGCATAGCAGATCTGTGCAGTGTATGAAACCATACAAGACTGCTGTTTTTACAGCCAAGATCTACATTTTTTTTAAAGTATTTTTTCCTCCTGTAAAATTATTTTGGTAAGACTGCAACTTGGTTGGGGTTAATTACCCAACCCGCAAAGTGTAGACGATGCACAAAGGCTTTACTGATGATTTGGGGTTCTTTTCTACTATTGTAGAAACCTTTAGGGAGGTAGAGGGCAAATAGAATGAAGTACCTTTTTTTTTTTTTTTTTTGATTTTCTTTCTTTGTTTTGTTTTGCTAATGCTGAAATAGAACAAAAGAGAAAGGTGTTAAAATGTAGGATATATTGTTTGATACAGAAATAGGGTAAATTTTAAATCTAACTGTGGGGTAAGTAACAGACCCTTAACATTGCTGCTGTGCAAATACAATGACGTAAGGTATAGGCAGGATCTATTACCACTTACTTCACGCACTGAATAAATATTTTGTCATTTTAAAGAAGGTGGAGAGTAGCTTAACTACATTTATCCAGATTTGTTTTGTATAAAACACATGGCTTTGCACTAGCCAATACTTTCTTTTCTTGGTTGTAAGTCGTGTTCTCAACAATCAGTTAATAAAGCTGTATTTATTATCTGCAAAAAAAAAAAAAAAAGGCTGAACTTGATGGACACAAGTCTCTTTTCAGCTATGTAACTATGTAACTATGTCCATATGTACACATGCATTTCACGTGGGCCATCTGAAGACTCAGTTTGATATTATTCCATCTTGCTCTTTAATCCTCATTGTCTTTCGAGAGGAATGTGTTATTTAAATGAGGTAAGGGTTCATGAGGAACCTTATCGCCTTACTGAATTTTATAGGTAGCTAAAATATCTGGGTCCCAGCAAATTTAAGGGTTATTCACTACAGAGAAAATTCTAAGTGAATTCAAAGTGAATTTCAAATTTAGGGCCAAAGTAGCCAAACTGAATGCATAGCTGACTTTTTAAAAATGTTAAATTCACTTTGAATTCTCTCTTTAGTGAATAACCTGTAGTATTGATGCTGTTGTGTTCTCCTCTTTATTTAGACCAAACCCCCTATTTAGTCTAAATTAAAAGTGGAATACAGGACATTATTTTCATTTTTTCCTGTACAAAAATAGAGTTCCTATTTTTTTGTAGCTGCTCGATTGACCTCCTGCCGCGTTACACTGGTGCCTCTAATCTTCCAATCCAATGCCAAGGATCATGTTCTGCAAAAAGAAAAAGTAGTCTACAAAGTGACAGTGCCATTTAAAATGTATGAGTGCCCAACTTTTATCATAATCAGCTCTCACTATAGATATCTGTTTCTTGTCTATGGAGGAGAAGCACCCTGGACAATATGTTATTATTTATAGACTCATTTATAGGCTCACTTTTAAAAAAAACATACTGAACAACTCAAAAATACTGATATCATTTAAAGATCTTTCGAAATGATAGAAGTCCAGAATAATGAATTTAATTCACTGGTGCTGCTGCAAATGTTGGCCAGCAATTTTGCTTTCTATCTATTCAGAGTAGCCTTTTGGCAAGGTTCACAGGTCGTGTATACTTTTGCAACCTTTTTTTCTGTCAGATTAATTTGTATATTAACAGACAACTGGCAAACCCTTTCATGATATTTCATAAACTAGACATGTATGTTCACTGCCTCCCATTTTGTTTATTTTGATGTGTGCTTCCATTCACAATGCAATTAGATGTAATGCAATTGTTCAAGGAATGTAGGTGAACATGGATGATTTGCGTGTGATTACTATTGAACATGGATGATTTATGTATGATTTATTTTTTATTCTTACCTATGACATAATTGATAGCACTATAGTAAGCTTATATATTTCTGAATGAATTATTTAAAGACAGAAATTATGGGTATAACCTTCTTGAGAAGATAAACAGGGTTATTCACGTAAGTGAGAATTGTCGGGAATTTAATATTTGAGATCAAAATAGCTGGATTTAAAAAAAATTTCAAATCAACTATGCTTCCAGTTTGGCTGTTTTTGTCTAAAGATTTGAAATTCACTTTGAATTCACTTTGAATTGTCTACAATTCTTACTTTAGTGAATAACTCAGAAAGTGTCAGTTGTCAACTAAATGGATACCAACAAGTGCATTTTCAGCAATTCAAATTGGCAAAGTTAATTTGGATAATTTTTTTCTAAGTTGGCTATTAAGGCATAAAACCTTTTTCATTCACTTTGAAATCACTTTGATGTCTTGACAATTCACACTTTGAACTTTTTGAAAAACGCACATTCAAACATTTTGTCAATTCTACAACATTTAAAGAACCACTCTAGGCACCCAGACCACTTCAGCTTAATGAAGTGGTCTGGGTGCCAGGTCCCTCTAGGATTAACCCTTTTTTTAATAAACATAGCAGTTTCAGAGAAACTGCTATGTTTATAAATGGGTTAATCCAGCCTTTAAAGCCCCTAGTGGCTGTCTCATTGACAGCCGCTAGAGGCGTTTGCGTGCTTCTCACTGTGAAAATCACAGTGAGAAGACGCCAGCGTTCATAGGAAAGCATTATAAATGCTTTCCTATGAGACTGGCTGAATGCGCGCGCAGCTCCTGCCGCGCATGAGCATTCCGCCGAAGAGGAGGAGAGGAGGCGGAGAGCTCCCTGCCCAGCGCTGGAAAAAAGGTAAGTTTAACCACTTTCCTTGCCATCCAGCCCGGCGGGAGTGGGACCCTGAGGGTGGGGGCACGAGTATGTTTTCCTGGCACTATAGTGGTCCTTTAATGGACAAAGAGTTGTTGGATCAGCGCTTAGTGGCCAGATAGAAGCTAAGATAAATTGAAGGTAGGCCGCAACCTAAGGGTATGATGTTCCCTCACAGACCATCAAAGAGAATAGAGTACAAAAAATATTTTTTTGTACTCTACAACATTTAATAGCTAGAGCTTTTCAACTTATATTGTTACACATATTTAAAAACTGTGGTTTTAATTTTTGTCTTCTGTTTATTAAAGAAATACTCGAGGCTTGCTAGCCCGACTTTGACCAGGGGTAAAATTTGCAGTGATTTTACATAATTTTACTCACAAACAGATATAAACAAAACACATCCCATATGCCAATTCTTTAAGCATTGACACATACAGAACAGAAAAACACTAACAGACATTTAACGTCTTGTTCTAAGATTTATCGAAGGAAAAGATAAGAGCTACTTTAAAGTTGCCAGCAGTACTAAGGCTGTGCTAATCTGATCTACAATCTACCCTCGGAGCACTAAGCATAAATTCGTAAGCTCTAAATCCTCACTAAGTATGTGCAGTTCCTCTATTCCTTCCCTACGTTGTGTTACAGAGCAACAAATCCAAACTCGGTGCTACAGCACTAAACAAACACATAGCAACAAATCAACATCATAAAAGGTGTTGGGGAACCCTAGGACTCTCAGTACTAGTGAAGACTCATGCTTGCCCCCTTTAAAACCTACCCCACAAAAAAAAAAAGTTCCATTGAGGGGAGAAAGCAATAGTGCATTTAAATTCCTACCACAAATTTACTGGCCCATGGCCAACTCAACTCATCCAGTGGGACATTATTTTGTATGAATCAACTATCCTCAAAGTTCTGCTTCTTTGGTCATAAGTCTTAAAACTCACTTTAAATCCCGAACCCTGTACGTTTTTTGGAAGAATGCTGGCTGAAAGGGTAAAAAAATATAGAATAATTATTTTAGCACCCAAAAATTTACCTGAAAATGAAGTGCCTTTTCAATTAGTAAATACCAACTTCTCCAAATCACCATTAGAAAAGCATGTCTACAAATAGATATTTCACCATTAATTTGCATGATATTGCCATTTTTTGCCACTTTCTCGCTCTCATGGTTGTGTTATTTCCTGAATTAATTGCAGTAATTACAACTTGGCAGGTCTTTTGCCCTGGCATTCACAAGATTTCTGCTTTTTCTCAGCATTGCTGCCAAGACTGATTATTGGCAATAACCACGCTGAATAGAATTTTCTTACAATGTCAAATTACTGGTGGGTTATTAATAGTGAATATATTTTCTTCCTTGTCGTCAGTACAATTTTATTTAGTCTGTCGAACTAATAAAACATATTTTCTTTTTTGTCAGCATGTCATGTTACAGCATTGAATACTTTGTTGATCATAACTAAGGGTTATGTAAGCAAACAAAATATATCATTTCAAATCCAGTATTGATGTCCTTAAAGGACCACTATAGGCACCCATACCACTTCAGCTTATTGAAGTGATCTGGGTGCCAGGTCCAGCTAGGGTTAACCTTTTTTTTTATTAACATAGTAGTTTCAGAGAAACTCCTATGTTTGTAAATGGGTTAATCCAGCCTCCAATGGCTGTCTCCTGACAGCCGCTAGAGGCGCTTGCGTGATTCTCACTGTGATTTTCACAGTGAGAAGACGCCAGCGTCCATAGGAAAGCATTATAAATGCTTTCCTATGAGACTGGCTGAATGCGCGCGCAGCTCCTGCCGCGCATGAGCATTCCGCCGAAGAGGAGGAGAAGAGGGAGGAGAGCTCCCCGCCCGGCACTGGAAAAAGGTAAGATTTAACCCCTTCCTCTCCATCCAGAGGGGGACGCTGAGGGTGGGGGCACCCTCAGGGCACTATAGTGCCAGGAAAACGAGTCTGTTTTCCTGGCACTCTAGTGGTCCTTTAACTCGTTCAGAACAAAGGGCTTGGGCAAATAAACATTACATCACGACAGTCCTGTCATGTCATCTCTCACTACAGGGCTAAAAGAATTTTAGGAAAAGGCTAATTTTACATTTTAATTTGGAAGGAAAAGCTGATTCTCTGGAAATTAAACCTCTGAGCATGCAAAATGACCTATGAATTGTGATAACCTTTTTTTTCCATGTTAACTTTTAAAATTATTATTATTATTACGTTATTTATATAGTGCCCTCAAATTCTGCAGCGCTTTACAATGGGTGGACGGACAGACATGAAGTTGTAACCAGACAAGTTGGACGCACAGGAACAGAGGGGTTGAGGGCCCTGCTCAATGAGCTTACATGCTAGAGGGAGTGGGGTAAAGTGACACAAAAAGGTAAGGATAGTATTAGACTAGTGACAGTTGCAGAAGAGGAATCAGTCAGGAGCTATTAACAGTTCAATTGATACGCTTTTATGAAGTGGGTTTTTAACGATTTTTTTGAAGGAGTGGAGACTGGATGAGCATCTAACGAAGGAGGGAAGCGAGTTCCACAGGAACGGTGCAGCCCTCGAGAAGTCTTGAAGGCGAGCATCAGAGGTGGGAGTACGGACAGAAGATAGACGTAAGTCTTCAGCAGATCATAAGGGCCTAGACGGGACATACTTGTGTA